CATGCATGCGTGGCATGGTGAGAGGGAGGCGGGACTCGCAGAAGCAGGACCCACGGGCCACCTGTCGCCCTCGGTCTGCCAGCAAGGCTGTCCGCAGCCAGCAGGGCCCAGGGCAGTGGGCGGCAGGGGAGGGCTGTGGCTGCCTGATGTCAGCCTGCACCTCCCTCCCAGGACCCGGCAGCGGCCTCCCACACATGCCGCGACTGTGGATGTCACCTGAGGGCTGAGTCAGGGGCTTCAGGTTGATGTTCGGGCTGAAGCGAGGCTCCCGCACGGACTCTGGAGCGTCGTAATTGCGGAAGAGGTGGAGCTCGGCCGGCTGCCGGTCAGACAGTGTCCCCGTCAGCATCACCCTGGAGCGGAACAGGAGACAGCTAGCCACCACCTCTTCCTGCTGTCCTGCCCCTGTCCTTCTCCCCGGATGGGCCTCTCACAGCGCCCAGCGAGGGGACCCGGCGACGCTGGTCCATGCTGCCGATGGGCCTCCCTACCCCAGCTATCCTGGGCGCTCGACCTGAGAGGCCGTCACTCCACGCTGCTAATGACAACATGGGTCATTATAGCAACCGCCTGCAGACAACTCAAGCGTCCACTGCAGGACAGTCTGTCGTGGCACGGCGCACCCACCCCCGGGCTCTGTGTCTCTGCAGGAGGCCTGAGGGAGCGTGTTCCATACTGACGGGGCACAGTTACCAAGATCAATAGTTATTTGCAAAAAAACAAAAAAACAAACAAACAAAAAAAAAGCAAGGTTCAGGGCTGTGTGCTTGGTGCACCATTGTTTAAGACAAAACTACTTACCTACCGTCTGCTTGGGTAGGAGGTGCCTCTGAGAGGACCCCGGGAGGCACCTGGCGGCGGTGAGCCGACTTTGGGAAGGGAACTGCTTGGCGGCTGCAGCGCCAGACAGGAGGGGAGGAGACTTCTCACTGTGTGACCTCCGATGCCTTTCCACGTTCCGCCAGGGAAGTGGGTGGTCCATTGAGGAAGACCCCCGCTTGCCCCGAGACACACACACCTGCACCAGTGCCACCGCAGCCCCTAGAGAACTCTGAAGGCCCTTTCAGAGGCCCTGGGAATCTGACCCGAGAAGCACATCTTGGGCAATCTTCTTAAAGGAGCAAGCTCAACTGCACGAGCGCCTGCGCAGGCTCTTCGCTGCGACACCTGGCAGAGTGGCAAACCAAACTGGGAGAGCAGGAGGGGGACTAGGAAACTGCGACGTTCACCCGCGGGGAGCTCCGCATAACACAGAAGTGTATTTGTCATATTGTGCAGAAAAACACACAGGCAAAGGGACAAAAACTACTTCGGAAAAGAAGTTTCCCACTTCCCCGACCACTGTGGGACTATCGTCTGAAGAACTCTCCCGCTGGACAAAACTGAAATGCTGGGAGAAAGATCTTTAAAAGTCTTCTTCAATGTGCAGAAGGTCTGACAAGATGGAAAGCAAATACCACGGAACTCGGGACGAGCAGGAACTCGGGCAGGTCCGTGAACGCAGCCCCAGCTTCCGGTCTCTGAGGGCAGACAGCAGCCTCTGTCAGTCTGAACTTCCCTAGCCGAGGGCAGCGGAGCGAAGCCCAGGACCCACCAAGGAAGGAGCAGCCTTCCACCTGGGGAAAGGCCCAAAGCTCCACGCCAAGAATTTAAAGTGGCCCTAGACGGCAGCGTCCCCAGTACCGGAAAGAGACAGCATAAAACACTCCTGATGAAGAGACTCTCGTTTTAGACTCCAAAGACTCTGCACATAGTGTTTTTCAACAGCAAAGCACAGCATACATAAGGGGGAAGAAATGGGGGTGGGGGTTACAATGAAATAAAACACCACGAATGAGACCAGTATGAACCAGTATAAATAGTAAAATATACCAAAATAGATTGAGGGTATTTGAATCCTCAAAGATGATAAAACTGCTACACTCACAATGTTTAAGGACATTGAAGACAAATTTGATTTTATCTTCAGGGTATAGAAAACTCTAAGTATTGACCTAGAATATTTAAAGAAGAATGAAAAAGGAGTTCTAGCAATTAATATATATATATATAATAGAATAATAAACTGATTATATGAAAATGAGATAAAGCCAAAGAGAAAATTAGTGAATCAGAAAATAGATAAATTATTCTGAATGTAGCACAGAGATAAATGATAGGAAAATACAAGAGGAGTTAAAAGACATAGCAGAGAGAAAAGGCTTAACATGGTTACCTGGCTTTGCAGAAGGAAAGTAGAAAATTAAGAAGAGATAACAGGGAAGGATATAATAGCTCTTTGAGAAATGAAGACTAATGTAAGGGTTCAAAACGGCCACCAAATCCCATACAGTGTAAAGTAGAAGGAATTCACACCCAGATACATAACAGAGCAACTGTAAAAGACCAGTTACTCTCAAAGCAGCAACACACACTCTCCAATGGTCATGTTAGGTGGGAAGTCAGAAATGAGCTCATGTGTGTGACAAAGGCCTAAGGAGTCGACATCTACAGTGGTCCAGCATCCGCATCTCAAAGTCATCCCGATAACCTTCCAGGTGCAGCCCAGCATCTGCACTTCAATCGTCTGCCCGGATCCTGATGACTTTCCGGGGGTCCTGCCCCTTCTACCTGATAAACATCCTTCCTCTAAGGTGGGGTGACGCCAGCCAGGCTTCCCCTGTCTGGTATTCAATGGGAAAGACTCAGAAAGGAATTTTTTTTGTATTTACATCCAACAAGTCCTTTGTTCTGAGAGGAGAAGGAGAAGAAGGGGAGGGAAGGCAAGACCCATCCCCTTAAAAACCCCGGCCTAGATGTGCACTGCGCACTCTCTCTCAGGTCCTGTCTGGAGAGGGGCCCGTCCGTTCTTACGGACGTCCCTGCCCTAATGAACCTGCTGTGTTGCTTTCCCCTGCTCTCTGTCTCACACCTGCATTCTTTCTCGCGTGAAGACAAGGCCCCTCTGCTCCTCCAGTAACAGTCACAATGGCCAGCACAAAGCCAGGAGCTTCTCCCAGGCCTCCCACGAGGGTAGCAGGGGCCCAAGCACCTGGGCTGTTCTTTGCTGCTTTTCCCAGGTGCATTAGCAGGGAGCCGGATGGGAAGTGGAGCAGCGGGGCCTTGGGCTGGTGCCCGTGTGGGATGCCAGCGCCGCAGGCAGCGTCTTCATCCACTACACCCCCGTGCGGGCACCAGAGCTTCAGTGCTACGGGGCGACAAAGCTCTGGAAATCAGCTGTGCCACTGTGTGCGTTACCTCCCACCACCGAACCTGAAGAGGGCTACGACGGAAACTCCTGGGTGCTGTGTCACCACCATGAAAACATTTTAAATAAGCAAATACGGTTTACTTCTCAACACCGGCAATGGTTAGAAAATGAATGTCTGAAAGTGGATAATCCGCCACAACACGAGGCACAGGGCGTGCCTGAGGGCAACCTCGTCCTGCGACTCTGCACTCGCCGTTCCCTGACGGGAGGCTCTGCGTCTCCAGACGCCCACCCCCAAATGCAGGCTCAGGGCACCCTCAACCCTCAAGCCAGGACAGGACTGTGGTGCAGGGTGCAGGCCCTCCCCATCCCCGCAGCGGCTTCCCCTGCCGCCCCCACGCACCACGTGGGTTGCCCCCCCAGCTGGGCAACCGTGCTAGGAGCGAGACAGTCGTGTTCCCGGCTGCCCGGGAATCCCACCAGGATCTGATCTCCTGCCGAAGCCAACACTGTGACGGCTGCTCGCACGAGGGTGCAAACGGCTCACAGCCACACAGCAGTCCTGTGTGCCAGGGCCTTCAAAGTGGGCTAGGGAACGCTGACCTTTGACCCCTCTGGAAGTGCTGGGAGGTGGGTCATGCTTATAATCCCTTCTCTACCCCAGCTCCTCGAACAGCCGCAGTACAAAGAGGGACGAGTGGGGACTTGCTGACGCCCGGACTTCTTAGACGCTTCTGTCATCAAGGCTGTGCGGCCCCAGTGCAGGGAACCAGGCACAGCCTGGAGCGCCCTCCGCACTGCTGAAGAAACAGTGCCCGAGAGTCGGGAGGGTAGAAGTCTTTAGAGGAAGAAAATCAGGTAATCACGGGGAGGACATGTGGTTGTACCTGCTTCTCCCTGACACAAAAGCACTTCCAGAGGAGAGAAGACCACAACGCGAAAGGCAGACTTAGGGTGGGCGTTTGGCCTGGCAGCTGAACCCCCATTAATACACCCCCATCCTGCACTGGAGCGCCTGAGGGCGGTACCAGCTCTGGTTCCTGGCTCCAGCTTCCTGTCAATGCAGGCTCTGGGAGGCAGCGGTGATGGCCAGGTAACTGCTCCTGCCAGCCTGGGAGACCTGGATTCCAGCAGAGCCTCCGGCACAGCGTCTGGCTCGGGGCGGAGGCTAAATCCATGACTCCTCCTGGGACAAGCGGCAAATACGCCAGCGTGGACGAGAGCACCATCCAATCACCAGAAGACAAAGGGGATCAACGTCAGGGTCAGAGCCGGCAGCAGTGAAAACCAGCGGAAGGACAGGCCGAGGGTGCAGTGGCCGGCTGCCCAGCTCTGCTCCGGCCCTGCCCCGGGGTGACTGGAGACCACCTTCTCTGTAGAGAGCCTCCATCTTGACACAGGAGAGGCTGTGCTCCCTCAGGCTAGGAAAGGGGTTCTCAGGTGAGGCTCTGAAAACAAACCAGAGGCGTGGTGCCTGGGGAGGGGTGCACGGGGAGGATGCGTGGGGAGGGTGCGTGGGGAGCGGTGCCTGGGGAGGGGTGTACGGGAAGGGTGTGTGGGGAGCAGTGTGTGGGGAGGGGTGCGTGGGGAGGGTGCGTGGGGTGGGTGCGTGGGGAGCAGTGCCTGGGGAGTGGTGTACCATATGGGTGCCAGTTCAAGTCCTGGCTGCTCCACTTCCAACCCAGCTCTGCTATGGCCTGGGAAAGCAGTAGAAGATGGCCTAAGTCCTTGGGCCCCTGTACCTGTGTGGGAGCCCCAGAGGAGGCTCCTGGCTCCTGGCTTCAGATTGACACATCTCTGGCCATTGTAGCCATCTGGGGAGTGAACCAGCAGATGGAAGATCGATCAATCGATCTCTCTCTCTCTCTCTCTCTCTGCCTTTCAGATAAATAAATAAATCTTTAAGAAAAAAAAACCCAAACTATAAAAAAGGAGACTATAAAATTGCTACATTAAGAATGTCTATGTGTCAAAAAACATCATAGAAAAAGCGAGAAGACAAGCCACAGGGTGGGAGAAAATACTTCAATCCTGTCAAAGGACACCCTTGGGAAATATACACAGATCACTAAGAAGTCACAGCACTCAAAAATCATTCAACCAGGGGCTGGTGCTGTGGCAAACAGGTTAAGCTACCAACCTTGACATCAGCCTCCCTTACTG